AATCAATTTGACTCTGAAGGGGTACACTCTCCCTCTCGCTTGGACAAACACTCCTCTTCCCAGTCAGTGTCCACTTAAGTCGTCACCTTCCCTCTCTTCCTTCTTTCTCCCCCTCCTCTCTCTCTCTTCCATTTGTCTACGAGTCTCCACGGGCATTGAAAATGAACTTAGAGAAAGAAACATACCGAAAAGCACAAAGAAAGACAAGGTAGAACTCCTAGCCGGAGCGATATTACATTTGGACTAGAGAGCAGCCAATTAAAATAAAAATAAATTCAGATGAGAGTTCTCAGCCTGATCAGATCGAGTACGAGATCTCCTTGAACCCAATCTCATTACTTCCGTGAACGTACAACAAATTTAGACATCGGGTAACGGCTTGCAACAATGGGGAAGTGATTGGTGTATAGGGTGCAAGCCAAACCATGGACTGTGTGGTAAAGTACGCAAAACATCTCAACCAAGATCCCCTCGGCAGCGAGTGCTCTAACCAAAAGAAGAAAACTCGGAATTCCAGACAGAAAGAGAATGAACTGACGTCAACAGATTTGGACCTAAGGGGCCCTTCTTACTTGGGCCGGGTCTTATTGGGTACCTAAGGGTCCCACGTAGGCTGCGACTGGGTCCCAACCAAGAGGAGTCCGGCAGGGACCTACTTCTAGGCGCACGACACTTACCTGAGTGGCCTGAGCTTCGATATGAAATAAAATTCACCCCCCTCTCATATGTCCTCCTAACCCCTTTAGCTCTACCCCTACACTAGTGTCCTATCTACTAGGAGGGTCTGACTCCAACAAGTACAACGCCTGATCCCCCGCCGTTGATGAAGATCAAAGTAGCATTTTGCAGTCCATCGATGCAGAATGGATACTTCCCTCAAGCTCGCGTACTTGAGGGAAGCCCTTAAGTTCCCAAGTGTCTCCCTTAGGCCAGATTCCAGGTGCGAGTGCCTCTCACTGTCGCCTCTCCCAAATTGTCGCACAAAGCCTTCTTGAAGTGTCTCGCCATGCCAACTCACTCTCAAGCCACCTGACCCAACACGACCTAACCAGATGGGGTTTGAGGGAAGCCCTTAAGTCGCCAAGTGTCGCCCTTAGGCCAGATTCCAGGTGCGAGTGCTTCTCACTGTCGCCTCCCCCAAATTGTTGCATGAAGTCTTCTTGAAGTGTCTCGCCACCCCAACTCACTCTCAAGCAGCCTGGTCAGGTCCGGTGTCGACCCAACACGACCTAAACAGGTGGGGGCAGCTTCCCCATACCACGCTGCCCCACTTCCCTCAACTTGGCCAACCCTAACCCTAAGTGGTGCCGTCAACCACCTAGTTTAAGGTTGGGGCAGCAAAGTCAACTCTCGCCAGCAAGTAGAATCGGCTCTGATACCAATGTTTCGATCCTGGCCAATTTCAAAGTACAAATTTACGAGAAAACACAATGCCGTCCGATTGCAAAAGAAATGAATGAACTTGAGAGGAGAGAGAGGGAAAGAAGAAGGAGAAGAAGAAAGAAGAAGAAGAAGATGTACACCAGCAAAGACCAATGATTTCCCCCCTTCTCCTCGCCAACTAAACTCCTCCGTTACTCCTCCCTTCTTATTCAAACAATAAATAATAATAATAATGATGAATGGCAGAACCAGAATCGATGTCCGAATCCCTCTTCTACTGCCCCCACAACTTGAGGTCCACCATAGCCATGGCCACCTTCCTCTTCCTTCCTCGTCCCGACCGAGGCTATGGCGGGCTACTAAGGGCCGTGCCCTGACGTGCAAAAGACAATGCAAAGCATCTATGGCCTCTTCCTCTCAGGTCTTGACCCTCCCTCCTTCGTCGTCCCTCCTCTCTCCTCCCTCGTACCTGCTCGTCGTGGTCCTCCCTGGTCCTTCCTTCCTCCTCCCTCGTTTTCCGTCCTTCGTCATCCCTCCGCCCTCCTTCGTCGTCCTCGTCGTTGTCCCTCGTCTTCCTCGTTGTCCCTCATCGTCGTAGTCGTCCGTTCGGCAGAACTTTCCAATACCACAAACTATGGCTGCGTCGAGTGCAAAACCAGCCCCGCCCTGGCCCCAATTTTTTTTTTGGGGGGGAAGGCCTGCGGAATTCGAATTCAAATTCTGCAGGCCTTTCCCCCCAAAACGTTTTGGAGCCAGGGCGCGGCCGGTTTTGCACTTGATGCGGCCGTCTTTTCATTTTTGCTTGGCTAGGGGCCCGCAGAACTATAGAACGCCCATTTCTTTTTTTTTTGGGAGGGGGACCCTATTTATTGCTGTGCGCCGCATCCGGTGTGTGGCGCCGTGCGGTGCGCGATTTGCGCAACATGTGCGCGGAAGCACACACCTTGATGTGCCGCAACTATGGGTTTTATGATCATACATGCGGCGCATCACGTGCGCGCGTGCGCCGCATAACAGACGCGCACAGGTGCGCGTGTATGTGATGTGGCGCATTTACAAAATAAAAAAGAACAAAAAAGGGCAGGTGGTGGTAACAAAATGTGTCCCTCCCTTTTGAAAGTTGTAAGTGCACAGAAAAAAAATAATTTGGGGCCACGTCTTACTCCTCATTGGATCTAGTCTCTTTTCCAAGGGTCCCCTCCAAAGAATTACCAGGGATCCCATGGGCGAGGCCTGAGGCCTCGACGAGCCCTATCGGGCCCTGTTCCAGCATGCCAGGCCGCCCTAAGTGAAGGCGGGCCTGTTCAGCTACGAGAGGCCCAATTTGCCTTTGTTGCAACTGGGAGAAATTCAGGCAGTTACACAGCGTCAGTTGGTTGGTTGAGCCCAGGCCCTGCCTCTGCTTTATCCGTATGAATCGGAGGCAGGGCCTGGGCCAGACAGGGGGCAAGAACTGAAGAATGGCTGGTGGGCAGTTGGATACGTGTAACCACCCCAGGCTCTGTGTGAGTTTCCTGGGACAGGGCCTCAGGCACTTGGGGCCTACCGGAAGCTTCCGGGTGGAGGCCCAGGCTAGCCAGGCAACCCACGAGTGGCAGCCACTTTCCATAAAGGAAAGGTCCTGGCTGCTGGCTACCCATTCGGGCACTCGCTGCTTATGCGCAAGCGCTGCTGCGCCAGCTGCTGGAGCGAGTGCCTACGCACTCACGGGCGAGCAGGGAAGAGGCAGGCAGCCATAGCCGGGCTGGATGAGGCGCATGGTGGTCCTTGGGTGCATGTGGCATCTGTGTGGAGGATCGAGGTTGTGAGTGAATTGAGGGACATACCTGGTGCTTGATGCGAACGGCATTGATCGAGATCTGCTTGTACTTCGGGAAGCTGTTGACGTCACCAGCGGCATTGTCGATATGCTAGATAGGATCTGCCATTCGTAATCTGGGTGCTGAGCGCCAGATAGGGACTCGACATTGGTTCATTGTGGATGATGATGAGTCTATTCCAACATTGTCACTTGTGAGCTTTTGCTGTGCTCTTATTTCAAATTGGTGGAACTCGAGTTGCAATTCTGCTTTTGGTTCGAGGACAAGACCATCTGGTTTCGTGCGTATGATGCTGCTTGGTTTTCTGGAATTCGCTATCGCTCATTTTCCTTGCACATGCATTTGGAAGGACGTTGATCGAACTGCTGTAGGAACACGAGCAGGCGAGCAATATATTCTGGATTCGGATTCAGGTCTGTGTTCCAAGAGTTATGGGTTACAAACTTACTACAAAGTTACAAACACTACAGTAGCTGTCTCGTTTTTTTTGTTTTTCCTTTTCTTAGGTGCAGTGGCCCTAAGGGCCTCGCTCCACTCATCAGCACTTGCACAAAAGACAAAGCATATGGCTTGTACGGTTCCAATTTCTAGGAGAAGATTCATTCTAGTTTTGCACATTTGGTGAGTAGTGGAGTGAACACTGAAATTCACATGCCGAGTTAGTAAGTCCGTAACCCATAACTACTGCCACATGGACCTGTATTCCAAGCTACACCATATATAGCTGGCCTCCTCCCTCCTTAGTACAAGTCCAGCGACTACCTTTGTCTTGCCGATGAGGCCCTTGCTAATTTTTGGCAGGGACCTTTTGAAGTACCGGCAGGAGTTTTCTGAATAATGTGAAAGGGCTCTTTGCTTTCTCTCTCTCTCTCTCTCTCTCTCTCTCTCTCTCTCTCTCTCTCTCTCTCTCTCTCTCTCTCTC